TAAGTTAGTTGCCTTCAACCGCAGCAAATAATTATTTCCACTTTCAAGATTGAGACTATCCATCTTTTATGATTCAGAGTGCGGCCATATGGGTTTTGTATTTTTCATGAGATTTGTTTCACACAAAAACAGGCCTCAGGCTGTATCTCTTAGCTTTATGGGGATAAAAGGAATTTATTAATTTCAAAATTTGAAATTTTATTTATGTTATCAATCACTAGGCTGCAAAATTGTTATTCTATTATTTTGATGATTTCGAATCTGTATGAAATCATCAATCTACGTCAGGATACAAAACCTATTATTTCGGACATGGAAACTACTGAAACTCTATTCGGTTAATCGATTATCAGGTCGTTCGGTAACGAAATGTTCAATCAAGAACACGCAACAGTTTATTTCTTATTGGAAGCATATTTAGACGACTGAACTTTTTTCATGGCGTACTGATAGAAAAAGAAGCATTGTTAAGATTGATGTCTATTTTCACCAAAAGGTCATCAAATCATGAGCACAATCAAACCATTTACATGATGCAGACGGCGCTCCGATGAAAATAATCTGAAATATGGCATTTGATTTACCTTTCTGATATTAATCAACATTTGTCATTTGTAATCAAAAGTTTTAGATTTTGTAAAAAAATAAACGAAACAAAAACAGATGATTTAATATGGTCTTTTTCTTACTTAAAATGATAATAAATTTATTGATTACAAAATAAAAACTTAAACGTTCTAAATAGTTGCTCAAAACACATTGAAAAAACATAAAACCGCAAGGAAACAATAAGATACTATCAAATGTGACTGTATGATGATTATAAATATTAATAAGAATATCATGTGTACATTCCTAGTGGCAGAAAATCCTTGCATCATATTCAGATAAATGGAAAAATTTCGCATAAATCCAGTCACCGTAAGATAAGTTTAATAAATATTATATTTTTTGTACTTATTTAATCATTATCAAGATTTTATACCGTGGTATGTGCTAAATTAAAAGGTCACTTTACTAATAACAGCACTGTAAGTGTAGTATATGTCAGAAATCATACAAAACATCATATATTGATTATAACGGTTATTTAAAACTGAGTGCAAAAAGGGTGTTTCAATGTAAAAGAGAGGCGAAAGATACCAAAGGGACATTCAAACTCATAATTCAAAAATAAACTGACAACGCCATGGCCAAAAAAGAAAAAAACCAACAGACAAACAACAGTACACAAAAAACAACATAGATATAAAGTTCGAAAACAGGCAATAGATGTGAAAGTATGTCCTCAATGTTAAAATAAAAATAAAATCTGGAACTCAAAAGAACGAAAAAAACTCTAGATACAATACACACATTAGCAAAAGAATTTCTTCCTATTCTCACTAAGAGACTAATAATTTATCAAATACAAATATTTAATATTGATAAAACTAAAACCAATAATCTAAACCTTCATTATCAACAAGCATAGACTTCCTGTTTACAAAAATTACATTTTTGTCAATAATCGTCTTTGAGGAATTTAATGATGTCTGTTTATAAGATTGATTGATTGATTGATTGGTGTTTAACGCCACTTTCAACACTTTTGTGCTATTTCGTGGCGGTCAGTTGTTATTGGTGGAGGAAGCCGGAGTGCCCGGAGAGAACCACCGACCTTCGGTAGGAAAACTGACAATCCTAGTCAATTAAGATTGGAGTCGAGTGCACCTGCCCCGTGCGGGATTCAAACTCACAACCGGCTAGTGATACAGTAGTTCGTCTACTTAGACCAGTCGGCCACCGAGGCCCCTCTGTTTATAAGAATAAGGCGATGTAGTATAATTGCCAATGAGACAACTATCTACCAAAGTTCAAATGAAGTGGATGGATGCAATTATAGGCAACCATACGGCATTCAACAACGAGAAAAACCCATACCGTATAGTCGGCTATAAAAGGCCCCGACATGAAAAATATGAAGAAATAAAAATGAAACAATTCAATAGAGAAAACTAACGGCCTAATTTATAACAAAACAATTTACGAAAAACATATATGACAGACATGAACCAACGACAACCAGTGAACTACAGGCTCCTGACTTGAGACATGCACATAAAGAATGTTTGTGAGCGCTCAACCCTCCCCTAACCTGGGACAGTTGTGTTACAGCACAGCATAAGAACACACTATAAACATGTTGAAAAAGGCTTAACACATCAGATCGATACAACATCTAACAAAAAACACAGACCGGACTTGGCAGGGTGTATATACATCCCTAACAACAAAATGACACAAAGTACAGATCTGAGAGTACTCGCAGTTACTGACAGCTATTTCAAAGCCAACAACAACCTATAAAAAAATCATGTATCTAAGACTAAAATATCAATCAGTACACATCCAACATCGATTGGATTTAGTGTAAAGGCATCATTAACAGTCAGAAAAAAACATGACCTTGTGCAATACAATTATAGGTATCGACAGAGTGTAGTATCGTAAAAGTGCATATGTGTATAACAATAATATTTAGTATTGTTTTAATTTACTGATAACAAAATCTATTTTTATACCAATAAAACATTATTCAAAGATCTAATTACATGTTGAATTGGTAACCTTTTAGAATAAGTTTATTTAAAGGATTGATAAGTTTACCCGGATCATATTTAAATTTCAGGGCTCGGTAAACAACATCACCGTAAAATTTAGGATGTGCTATTCCGTTTGAAATAAGTTTTCTGCAGACACACTTGCAAACCAAATCCTTGTATTTATGGAAGAATTTGTGGTAACGAAATCCCTGACTTAATAATTTACCAGTTATATAAAAATAAGAAGATGTGGTATGATTGCCAATGAGACAACTGCCAACAAGAGACCAAATGACACAGAAATTAACAACTATATGTCACCGTATAGTTAAACATAGATAACGCTAATTGAAATCCAAAACACGGGCATAGCAAACGAGCTGGGATATATAAACACCGTAAGACGGTGCCAAAGGAACATCACCGTCCAAAAATGGAAAATTAACAATGGGTAAATTCTTGTGTAGAGTTTCTGGTATAAAACTGAAATATCTTAATCTAGGATAGGACAGTTATTGCTGCTGATATTTGATTTATTTAAACTAAGTTCATTTGGGTAAATTTCGGCAGTATATTTAGAAAATTCTTAATTATCTAACGAAAAAATATCATCAAGATAACGGAAAGTATTGTTGAATTTATCAATTAAATGGAATTTAGATGGGTCTTTACTGAATTTGCCCATAAACTGTGATTCATAATAGTTCAGATACAAGTCTGCTATTAAAGGGGCACAATTGGTGCTTATAGGATTACCTACAAACTGTCGGTACACTTTATGGCCGAAACGTACATGCGGTATGTGCTTTGCTCATTGTTGAAGGCCGTACGATGACTTATAGTTGTTAATTTCTGTGTCATTTGGTCTCTTGTTGAGAGTTGTCTCATTGGCAATCATGCCACATCTTCTTTTTATATATAAATGTTGTCAAGGAGAAAATTTACAGCTTTAATCATCTCATCACACCTCCAGTTAGTATATCTAGCATATTTACCTTTCTCATTTGAGAAAAAAGGCTTTATATGCGTTGCAGCAAATAGATTTGCAATCAGATCTATCAAACGACAATTTAAATAGATAGGAAAAGTTTTGTTTGATAAGATTGTGTGGAAGTGCTGTATAAAGAGTGGGAAAGTCAAAACTGTCAAACAATCAAAAGGACCATCAAACGCACGTCATTTATCTAAAATATCCAAAAGAATGTTTTACAATTCAAAAATGGTTAATTCCACTATTTTCATATGTTTTATCACAAAATCAAAAATTAACGATAAGTTCTTTGATAGTAGATAAGGAAATCGTTAAAAGCACTGACAGATTAGTAATAGAACACTAACTAAAGGCTGAGATGAAACGATATTTTACGGGTTTTATGTGTAGATTAGGTAACCAATACATAGCGGACCGTTCAAATGTTCAGAGGAGCCCTTAAGCTGAGCTGTGGTAGTGATATGATTATTCACTATATGACTCTTTTTGGAGTGTACGGCCTGGAATGTAGTTGAATGTATAATTTTATTCTTAAGGACTTTCGTGTAGTATTTACGTCATACCACCACCAACTTGTTGGCTCCTTGTCGGTCGGTACGAACACAAAACGCTTTGCGAGTACTTGAGTTTTGTTTTTAGTATTAGAAATGGGCATATTACTTACTCTTTTAATTATTTCTATATTATTTTCGAAATATGATATACGAATATCAACTATATTCAGACATTTATTTAAATAGGAATCAAGTGACTTTTTTGTCAGATTTCTCCCGTTTACACCATTTTTACAATAGGATGAAAGAGCATCTTTAATAACCTGACGACACTCTTCCCAATTTATTTTCGACAGTGGACGATATTGTGATCCTTTTTTCAGAAAGTTTATAACCTCTCTGTCTTGAACGATGTTGAGGTCCCCCTGTAATTACATGGCCATAGGGATCCTATCTAAACTTCGATGTTTCACAGTTTCACGTAGAAGGAACATTATTTTCTATACTGACGTCTGATGTAGCTGACGTATAATTAAAAATTAAACTTCCACTAGGTTTTTTTATACGAATAAGAAATAATAGGTGGCTATATGTTATCAAGATATGGAGGTTTAAAGTATTGAACGGTAGAGTAATGAAAAATACTAGACAAATTCATAAAATCAATACCTCTATTAATGTATTTAATTCTTAGAAAATACTTTTTATGATCTCCAGTTTTGTCAATTTGAGGGAACAGTCTAAGGTGACAAAAAGCTGTAATAATATTTTACACTCATATTTTGGACTGAAAAACGATATTGTATCACACTCGTTATAAATATTATATAATTTACTAATTGGCATTTGACCCAGTTTACATAATAATTGATGTCTACCATTGTTTTTCACGGACAACACCTGCCTCTTATAAGAGCTTTTAAAAACGCATCAATTTAGATTGTTTTTATTTTGACAGATGTACAAACAATTTACTTCAGAATAGACATGAAAAATGGAAACGATATTCGTCAAAAAATCATGCACATGAAAAGTTCTTGATTTACAGTAAATGTTCACAATTAACAGTTGTTACACATGGACAAAGTTTAAAAAAAAAAGATGATATAAAGTACAATTGAACATGATTTGATTTTGTAATTCCAATGAAAAATCATCTATATTTCTCTAGTTAATTTTTAACGCTGTGTAATTGTATACCCTTATACATAGATAAAGATATTCACTAAACGTGCAAGTGAGGAAATGACTGAAAAAATGAGAAAAGAAAAAAATTGTGATGATTTGGTTCTATACCATGTGCTGCCGCCTGCCTGAATCTTACTTGTACATGTTATTAATACAACATTAACTTAAAGAACTGATAGAAATAAAAATTGGTTTTCATTATATATAAAAAAGCAAAGACTTATGAAAAAGTTCTTTATAAATGTCTTCTTTCATTAAAACAATGATGAAATATGATATAATGGCAAATATTTACTGTTCTGTTCATTTAATTTTATTACACGGAAACAATATATAACCACATTTTCGAAAAAGTTCTAATAAACAATTTGACAAAATAGAATCATACAATTTCGATCAACACAAATTTTAATCTAGAAAATATAGATCAGATACGTCTACACCATACTAATTTCATTTTTTTTTCCATTTATTAATTAATGTAGCTGCAGTACAAAGGCCAAATGTATTTTACAAGAAAACATCGATTGCACATGTTTTAATATACATTCAAGGATGAATTACAAAAAATAATTCAGCGTTTGTGGAAATATCCTATGATGACAATTGCCGAAGATTCTATAAGCTAAAATCGGAGTTGTTGATTAAAAATTACCTAAAATGAACTAAGTTCCAAGCAATATTCACAAACAGAGACATCATAGTATGATATAGTAGAAGACAAGTTTCACCAGGCTTATTTTCATCTTTACTGGTATTTCATTACTTGTCATTATCAAATGTATTAACCATAATACTGAGTTTCGGTTAACAGACATTGAGACGGTGAGTTTAATTTTACGGGAACATTTCTATATAAATTAAGCCTAAAGTTTTAATCCGAAGTTAACATCAGATGCATTTATTGTTTGATAGGCATTTTTGGTTTGTTTCAGGTTTATAATCACCATCGACGTACAAATTCATATTATTTCTCATGTTTGAGGTTTCCATACTACTTTAAAATTACATCGTTCAAACGATATTTTCACAAATGAAAACATAAAGCAAAATCGAATAATATACAACATCGACATGAAATATGAAAAAGATGACAATTGGACCAAACTGCAGCACCTGTATTTTTTTTTTAATCCCGTCTACTTTAAAATTCGTTACCGTATTTATAAGTCATTAAAGTCTTTATCTTTTTATCTGTAATAGAAAACAAGCTCCTCTGCACGTATATGTCCATTTGCGAGCAACGTCTTCGGAACATAATCCCTGCATTTTGTACGTTATTTTGAGTCAATCAATACAGTGAACATTAGGAGGGCACTCATGACATCATATTTTTTCTTTTAATATTTTAAGGCTAAATAAAGTGGTGCTGCCTTTCATAAATTTTCATCAGCTTGTTCTTCTGGTAGCCCGTGCTGTTCTACATATGCAGTATGATTATTATTTAGCCATGGTGTATTTTCACATATTTCTATATCTTGTCCAGTAAATTCCTGACTAGTCTTTACGTCATAGGCATAACTACTTTGTGTTATAGGTGATTGAGTAATATTCAAAGTTGGGGATGAATGTAGTTCGTGTTCGTTTGGTCGAACTCTGTCCCCTCTACTTGTTACACCATTTGAATCCGAATTCCGGTGATCTTTCCATGATTTGGTGCGTGACGTAAATGTTGATCGCCATCTTGAACTTCCCGATCGGTTTAGTGTGTATCTCCTCCAGGCTTTCTTGAACTCATTTTGAACCTAGAATTTAATGCAAAATGTTAACTAAAGTAAGGAAGGTTTAACCCGAACATTAGGATACACAGGGGCGGATCCAGGATTTTGGAAAGGGGGCGAAGTATGTAAAGAATATTTTTTTGGACCTTTTTTTGGCTAAAAAACATAAAATATGTGTAAAATGCAGCTTTTTAACGGTTCCTGACGTAAGGCATGTATATTTTATAGTTAAAGTGTAAGGGTTGGACATTTTTGATGCCGTATTCTCCCCATTAATTGTCTATTATAAAATGATTAGATGGATCCCAAGCTATGTACTAATATATTTGATGTGGGACTTGTCAGTAAAATATTGACATGGAAAATTCTCGTTTGTTGTATGTTTAGTTAGCATAACGTCACGGATTTCTTGTTGTAAACAAGATATACGCCGGGCTATTCAATGAAATTTACAATACGACCGACACGAGTTAAGAAAGACAAACAAGCATTTTTTTTCCAAATGTTTGGTTGAAATGTTTCATCCAACAAGGGAAGTGAGGGGTTTCAAATCAACCAAAGGCTACGAATGAGTCTGAAATGACAACGAATATATGAATGACGGTCGACAAATGGAGACATAAAGGCCACACCCAGCAGGCAGGTTGCAGTCGGGCCTTGAAAAAGTAAAAATTACGCCCGTTTTTTTATTCATCATGTTCATTTAATGCTAAATAATTCTGTTGGAAATTTTTGTTTCTAATAGCAAAAAAAGTGGACAAGATTATTGTTTTCAATCCAGATACGGCCAGAATTTTTGTTTAAGGCAAAAAGCAGGGTCAGAATTTTTTCTCTCAAACATCTCAGACTGCCCCCTCAAATCAAATAGTCCGTACCTTAGACTTTAAATCTATCTAGAGCTTATTGACTGGGGATCATTATTCGGCTATGTTATGAATAGGCTGGAGCGTGTTGGGTTAAACATGTTTTCGTAGGTAAATAATATTGCAGTGGAACTTTTTTTTCATGAAAGTGTACTAGAGTATTACTTTCTGTTCAGTGGAATTGTGAAATAGAAGTCAATAAATACGTTCTTGCTCAATCTTTTGTCGCTTTGAAGGTGTCATGCTTGTCATCCTCAGCCTAAGCAATGTGTTACTGTAATTTGAATTTCAAAATGAATGAGTGACGTTTTTTCGACGCACTGGTCAACTCCACCGTAGCGAATCACATGATTTTGACATAATCAATAATATATTACAGTAAATACGAGCGAAACATATCTTTATAAGTAAAGAATTGCCGCATAAAAATTAAATACGCGGAAAATGGCAAAGTTCACGAAGTCTAGTCTGATTAATCATTTTCCAAAAAAAAAAAAGAAAAAAAGTGCAAGCAAAAGGGGGGGGGGGGGCGTACGCCCTCTACGCCCCCCTCTGGATCCGCCACTGATACATAAAGATGCACTATACGATGAATGTCTCCTACCATAAAACCTGTTTTAATCTATAAAGTTTTGTGCATTGCAAGATTCTTATAAAACCCCAGGATTATGAACGTCTTTCATAAGTTAATATATCAAGTGTTTTTCTGTTTCTTTCACCTGTAATTGTTGAATACCGATTTTTACATCGCGATGACTTGGGGTCAATCCGATGTATTGCTATCGCCTAGATTTCCATTATGTAAATTAGTTTTGGGTTTGTAACCGATTTATAAACGTGATAAATATGCGCACATAAACGAGTGCAAAATAACATTCCTTATCGTTTGATATAAATACATCTCTTCAATGAATACTGATAAAAATATTTTTGTTTACAACATAAATTAATAACATGAAAATGTTTTGTAGTTAGATATATATATAAGTAAAAAATCATTGATAATATCAATGCACACGTACCGAAAAATTGTGTTAAAGCATGCGAAAGAATATCTCAACGAACGTTTTGCGACAATACCGGCAAGGACCGGTAACTCTGTAATTGTTTTTGCGGGAAAATATGAATGCCTACTCGTATCCAATTTTTTACAGAAAAGTGTCCACCATGCACTTGCATTGCACTATTATTAGAATAGTAGAATATAATGATATACAAATGGATGCAAATCATATATATATGTAACTGTTATTTTAATATAATATATAACAGCAAATCAGTGTATACTGATTTGTATCACTACAATATAATAGTTATTACGGTGAAGTTGAATTTCCTGTCATTTATTCATCATCCACGCACGAACTTGTCTCAGAAAAAAATATATCTCTGTACATTAACCTCAGTTTCAGGTAAAGAGATATGTTGTTTTTTTGTGAGACAAGTGCTTTTGACCATCCTCAAGAACTTGTGGTCATCCGATGTTCAGTACTTCAGTACTTTGATATAAACTATCATGAAATTTAAGACATTCTAACTTTCAATTCTTCAAGTTTTTTTCTGTTTTCCATATGGTGGTTAATATCTTTTAAGTAAACATTTGAATACGGAACACTTTTATAACTTTTTGAAAAATCCATTAATTATTGAAGTTTGCCCAAAATGTCTTGTATTCGCGAAATATGTTTTGTCTTTTGTCTGTTCGTTTGGTAGGTAGTAAAGATTTAAACAAATTATGTCTTACTCATGATAACTATTTATCAAGTTTTACTTGAAATTAAATACTTAGACTCGCCACTTACCTCAGAATTGAAGAAACAAAACAACAAAGAAAGGATAAACCCCTGTAAATATATATGTTACAAAAGTAGGATGTACTATATAAAAAAACAAATAAAGTTCAAATAAATCATCAACATATTGTTTACAAATATGCAATAATTTCAAAACTGAAAATTATGTAAGGTCTTTCATTTCCTTGTTTAACACCCTGTTGATAGCTAGATTTAGCAGATTTTTTATTGTGTGTTTTACATCTTCGACAATTTTTTACCTGGTTTAACCCAATCCGAAAATTAGGTACCTTTACTAAGTCAGAATATCTGAACCATGCGTTATTCGTAGTTGTTTATCTGTATCTCTACTTGTTTTTCGGAGCAGTCGTGTGTTGTTGGTTGGTGTTGTCTGTTGTACTGTAAAATATTTTGGGTGATTCTATTGATCATGATTAGGTATGTATTATTAAATATTGTCCCCCGTTGCTGTAAAACTTGTAACTGTTCCATTAATGTTACCATCAAAATAGATACGACTGCAAAAGAGATCCCAAAAATACCTCATGGTTCTTTTAAAAGAGAGGCGAAGGATACCAAAGGGACATTCAAACTCATAAGTTAAGCTTAAGCTTTGGATACAAAAAATATATAACAAAATATTTACACAGAAGCATGTCACGAGCAATAAAACCTGCGACACAAATTGTTCTTATATCTTAATATATCATTATAAAATTTACAGTGCTTATCTGGTACGAGTGAAGAACATTTACATTGCTTACCTGGTACGAGTGAAAAAAATTAACATTGCTTACCTGGTACGAGTGAAAGAAATTTACATTGCTTACCTGGTACGAGTTAAAGAATATTTCCAAGTAGAAGTAAATGAGCAACCCAAGACCTTTTGACTGGGTCTCCACAATTTGAAATATTATACTAAACACCATATAGTGAACACCAAACAAAGGGATTAAAACAAGCGTCGACTTGGCAAGTCTCCTGAAATGAAAAATGTTGATATCAAGAATAGTACAGACATGTTTTGTCACAGAGTCTTCATCGTCTAAATATTCATTTAAGACACCAATTAGGCGAGTCTGAATGCTTATACTCGTTGTAATATAGGTAAAATGCGTCCTTACAAAACAAAGGAGCTTGCCTCAATAGCTAAATTTCATTCAAAATTGCTAATTTCAAAGTAAGCATTTTTGATAGAAGATATTAAGAAATACAAGAGTGTTGAAACTAAAGATATACACTTAAACCTGTGTTCAAGTAAAGCAACCAGCAGAACTATGCAATATGCAATCCTTTTATAGCCAATCGTACATGCAATGATGTAATCTAAGCAATCTATGCTAATTGATCTATTTTACAATTATATCAACATCTAATTACTGTTGTCATTATAAAAGATGTCAGAGCTATATTGTACAAAATGATGACAAACATTATGCTTATCAATTAAAAAAGAGAAAGATAAAAAATATTATTGCTTATTAGTTTTATATTTTTTCAGAATATATCCTTTTGTAAGAAGCTTTTAGTGCATTCTGACATTCATTGTGATCCTTACAATGATTGTGTATATTACACATTAATGTGTCGTTTTTATGTCGTTTTTAAACTATCAATTCGTTATTAACATTTCAAATAAGGCAAAGATGGATATGGCACGAGGTTGATAACAGAACGCATGAATATGTTATAAGATCCCATTGATTCGATGTACAGACAGACTTGTGTTCAGCCTATCCGATTAATCTATGACAACAGTTTAACCCTGTCTATACGATTTAAGAATACGTGCAACAAAAGAGGTAGGCTCAAGTTTACCTTAATTTTATTTCACACATAGTCATTTTCAAAAAATCTTTCAATCTTAACTTAAATTTACAGTATTACAGCTCTGTGTATATACCTTAACATCATTCCCTTCAGCAGGAGCCGAGAAAACTTTGACAAAAATATTCCTTCTACAATGATTAATGTAAAATTTCAAACTATCGACAAACAGGAAGTGGATGTACGGCAGATGTAAAAATTGCTTATTCGCTACAACGACGAACGGACGGACGGACAGACGGACGGAGTCTTGCGGTTACTAAACCTGATTCGGCATTCGGCGACGCAGGTAAAAATATTTAAGAAAGATATTTTTCACAACAACAAAAAAAAAACCCCAACATAGTTGGATGTATAACTATATATGTTCTCGCGGAAAAATTTATTTTGATAAACAAACTTCCTTCGATACAAAATTGAATAAAAACATGTAAAACTAGCTAATTTACTCTAAAATCTTCCAACAGCAACAGGTAGCTCTGGAAAACATCTTAGTATTAAGGAAATATGTATAAAATTGTTATAACATATATTTAGTATACGATATAGACTCTTTAAAGGGGCAGTAGCTACGATTTAGACCAACAAATAAAATGTGATTTGATTTTGTTTGAAAAACTAATAAAAGCTGAATATTGAAAAAGTAATTTGCTAATAGCAGCCATTTTGGTTCAATATCGTAAAGATAAGCACAAAATATCGTAGGTATATATTGGTCATGCAAGACAATAATTCGACCAAATTTGGGTCCGTATGCATGCAACCTCTATTGATCCCACCTATTTAAATAATTATACGAACCCATTGAAAAAGAAAAGGAAAACATTTGCTTTCTCAGGATATTTATGATGAATTGGACAGTTATAATTAAGTTGCAATTAAAAATGGAACATCCGAAAGTATGACTTTAAGTCGATGATGCTTGGATATAACAATGTAAAATCTAGGTTATCGAAGTGATTTGTTTATATGAAGTGGCCGATAACATATTAGTTACTTTGATAATTCTACACTTCATATACAGTCGTATCAGAATGAGTCTACATTTCATTTTACTAACGGGAGAATCATGTATCTATCGTTAGATTATGTAAACCAACCTTGTCAGTAAAATCAAAACGAGATATGTTTGTTTCAAGTATTGACGTTCAGTGCATACATAATTCTTCATATTACTCTTGTTAAAATTTATACAATTACATCTATATCATATGATTATAAAGATCAATTGGTACGCAATCTACAATCTACTGAGCCTTTTGTTATTTGCAATGTTATCTAAGTAAACTTACACCAAGATATCATGATTAACATAAAGTTCAATCAAACCAAAACACCTGCATGATGTTATTTTATAAGTGCCATGAATGCAATATTAATTTTCTTAATTTTTTTTATTCTCGACTGAGTATTTTTTTTTGTTAAGAAACTTTCAATTCTTTACTACCAACAAATACATCCAATTCTACATGCAAGTATTTCGCAGTTCTATTATATAACATACATAATAAGTCATCAAACTGAAATTAATAAAGTAATTTTTTGTACGTTGAGTATACTTTTCAACAAGACATTCCTATAAAAATTCTCAATATATAGACGTTAAAATACATTACAAAGTATTGATTGCTAGTATATGCAAGAAGAAAAGAGGTGCCAAGAAGGCATTTAAAACTCATAAGTCGAAGAGTTAATAATTACATATATACCGACCGTGCGAATGCTTAACAGCCAGTCAAAATCCACCCTTAGTACATTTTGGAAATACTATTGTAAGACCACGTTCCAAACGGTATTAGAATAAAAAGCAAGTAGATGGAATTTGTCATTACAAATGAATTTGAAGGTGTGTGTGCTTTATAAGAGTTCCTCCAGAACATTTTTATGTTCATCGTTATCACTGTGTATTATATTGAAATATAGATTCTACCACTGCAACGAGTAAGATGTGATATTTCTCCTTTCGGGACAGTTAAAAATTATAAAAGATACCAGGTTTGAAATTTGGTACACCAAACGCGCGTTTCGTCTACATAAGACTCATCAGTGGCGCTCGAAAAAGTTGGAAGGGGTAAAATCAAAAACGAAGTTAAAGAGCATTTAAAACCGAAAATTCCAAATAGTTGTGCCAAATACGGCTCCGGCAATTTATTCATGGGGGAAGAACACCATAAGTGTTTTGAATAATTAATCATTTTATAGATATAGAATTTGAAAATGGAGAAATATCGTATTGTACGAGATTAGGTGGTGGAGTCTGCTTTTATATTGGTTTTTAAATGATATGCAGACATTTTTTTTTCTCGTTTTTCCAGTGATCTGCAAAATATAAAAATATGAAAGAAAAAAATGACTGACAAAACTAGTGTCTGATGTCTCCAACTTTCTATTCATATGTAGACCAGCCAAATTAATCTTCAATTTTGACCTATACTTATGATTGTTTAAAGACTTACTTACCTATACCTAAACTTCTTAGTCTCTGGACATGGAGAAGAATTCAATTTGGTAAATAAAACTCTGACGATATTGATAAATATGGTGAAATTAATCTGTAAAAAAGTAAAATCTTTCATCATTATTTAGCAATTATTATGTGTTTAGGACTGATCTAATGTACAGATGTCGACGGATTTTATACAGAAATAAAGAACAGAGTATCTGTAGTACTTATTGGGAAGAAATTTGTATTACATTTTCCCGGCTTTATGTTGGCCTTTTGTAACAAAGGCAGATGAAGGAAGTCAACTTTGGAGTGTGCTGTGGTTGGATGTAAGTATATAATATACTTTTTTTTTATTATGAAAAACTGAAGTGTGTATATTTACAATATAAATTTTGAAACACAATGAAATATTTTCTTGAAAATTATTCGATAAGACTTCCAAATATTCATAAATTTGATGTAAAATGACAGTGGCCATGGATACTATACACAAGCTCCGTTCGAAGATGGTCATGCCACTATTTGACTTCAATTTCTAAAACAGAATAAGAAAGCACTAATATCACACACAACTGTTTTGTCCAGGTTTTTATTATAAAAAGAGGTAAATTTAGAAAATGTTAGTTATGTCGGCTATGAAGGAAAATACTACCGGTTTCCATAAACAGGACGACAGAAATTAACAAAATTATTGGACAGTACAAAAACCCAAACTAATAATTAACACACGACACCTCTGATATATAAAGGCAACAGTAGTATACCGCTGTTCAAAATTCATAAATCGATTAAGAAAAAAACAAATCCGGGTTACAAACTAAAACTGAGGGAAACACATCAAATATGAGAGGAGAACTACGACACAACAGAAAAACAACATTAAAATGTAACACACACAGAAACGAACTATAATATAACAATGGCCATTTTCCTGACTTGGTACAGGACATTTTAAGACAAAAATGGTGGGTTGAACCTGGTTTTGTGGCTAGCCAAACCTCGCACTTTAATAGCAATGTTAAATATAACACTAAAATGACACCATTACATGACATGAATACAGTACAACATTACTGACAGAGAATTACGCTAATAAACAATACAATATAGTACATTTGGACAACGAAACAACAGAAACACTAAAGTGAATAAACAACGAACGACAATGCAACACACATAGAAACAAACTATACGATAACAATTGCCATTTTCCTGACTTGGTACAGGACATTTTTAAGAAAAAAAATGGTGGGTTGAACCTGGTTTTGTGGCTAGCTAGACACCTCTGATATAACAGACGCACAAACAACACCGAACAATGCATAATATAGATTGTCAAACTTGGAACAGGCAAACTGAACAAAATATGTTTGGTTTAAACCAGTTTTACATGCACATAAACCTCTCACCTTCCCATATATATATACCTCATTAAAGTTTAACAAACAGTAAGAAAACCCAGCACAATCCAGATACCAATAGGATAACACCTAATTTGTACAAGGAAACAAAAGACGGCATATAATTTGTAGGTTTCACTCAATTCTGTTGCACTCATTTCATTAATGTCCTATCCTGGTATTCATGATCAAGATACAACAGATATTGTCAAGATCAAGAAAGAAGGTAGAGATGCTAATTATATTCACAGTGACTTAAAAGAGTTCTGATTTTATCTGAACAAGTTTTAAAGGACAAGGTTCACTTTTGGCCTTGAATGTCATCCTTGTCATAAAATATCTAAAAGGCCATAATTTAGTTGTTGAATGGATCTATTTCAAAAGTCTTACTGCTAGGTAATCTCTTCAAAAGAGTATATCATAGACCCTAAAGTCAGCTCATTTAGAAATGTTGTCAAAATACGAGGACGTGTGCATTTTTCGGATATAAAAGCTTCAGGAAAACCTTGGTCGCAACCTACAATCTAATATGTTTTATAACCAAAAGATGTCAATGGTGATATTGAATCCCTGAACACGAAACATTTCTGGATCTGGGATGGCGTCCAACGTCAAATGTGCCAAAAAATGTTATGAATTATGGAGAAAAATTGGACCAAAACTGATGTTACAACACAAACAATCATTATGCATAATCAAATGGTCACTACTTCGTAATTTATAATGTGATGTGCCAAAAAAGATGTTATTTTGTATTAATAGTAATATCACAATTAATTCTATGTGAAATTTGTAGTATTTCGGCCGACTTAAAAAATCATCAAAATCTTAGGGTCAATTTTAACCCTTCATGAACTTACTCCTTAACCACAATGATAATTCGTAAAAAAAACTTGCAATGAGGATCTGACATTGCGTTCGTTCGCTGCTTCGAGATGAATGCCAGAATTTATCTCGGTTCTGTATAGTCTATTTAAAACTAAAAGTTAGAAAAATGACTAATGTCTATTGATATCTAATGTCGTTTATTTGGTGTCTCATTGATGTATACAACACACCTCCTTTTATTCACATTAATGTATTTCTACTTTTCAGGATCGGAGACAGGGTCCTAGGGCAAAAAAAGTGGGGCATCATATGAAGTACAAATTGACGATTTTATGCCCCCAAAACAATTCAGCGTACGCCCTCTATACCCTCTGAATCTTCCAAAAGTTAATTAATTATTAATTGACAAAAATATATACTGAAGTCACTTCGAGGTTATAATTGGATGACATTGTGTTAATTCTGTTCCCATGCAAATGGACCACTGAGTTTTTTAATTGACCGTTCGAAATATGTCCTATATCCTTCTATGAACAAATTCAATTATAATCTGACATACTTGACATATTAAACTTACTACAATAGTTAATAGTATTGGTCCATGAATGATCCATTCAACCCAACGGATGTCATAGGTTGTCCAGCAGCTGAAATTTAAATTGTTCATTAGTATTTGTATCACATGATTGCACTAATTACAGCCATTCATGGTGTTTGGCATGATAACATCGAAAATCTGCCTAAACATCTTACTCTGAAATATCCCTCCTTTTTTTGTGTATACTTTTGGCGTGGCTAGCTACTTATACATCTCGCCATTGTGTTATTGTGCTATGGTCATTTTTGTATTCTTGTTTTATTTTAGCTTATGTACTTTGTCTATAGACTGTCTATATGCCATTTTGTTTTTCTTTGTTGAAATAGTTATTTTTTTTTATAATGATTAAGATTATAACACAATGTTGACTGCACCCCAATTTTTCACATTTTTACCTATTATGTCTGTTTGTTTTGCTCACGGAGGTTAAGCTAGTTATAAAACCAGGTTATATCAACCATTTTCTACATAAGGAAATGCCTGTACCAAGTCAGGAATATGACAGTTGTTTTCCATTTGTTAGATGTGTTTTGAGCTTTCATTTTTCCATTTGATGAAGGACTTATCGTTTTGAATTTTTCTTGGAGTTCGGTATTTTTGTTATTTCACTTTTTCCTTTACAATTATCACCAATAATGTTAGATGAATATTTACTATTGACATTAAAAATCAAAGTACTGAAGTACTAAACATCGGATGACTGCAAGTTCTTGTGGATGGTCACAAGCACTTGTCTCAGAAAAAAAATCACATCTCTATACCTGAAAGTGAGGTTAATGTACAGATATAATTTTTTTTCTTAGACAAGTTCGTGCGTGGATGATAAATAAATAATAGGGAATCCAACCTCACCTGGATAAATATGATATTGAAGTGATACAAATCATTATACTCTGGTTTGTTGTTATATATTATATTAATATTTGTATATTACAGTTACATGTATATAGAATTTTCATCCATTTTTTATATCATTCTATTCTACTATATTAATAATAGTGCAGTGCAAGTGCATGGTGGACACTTTTCTGTAATAATTCGATTTTTCTAATAGATTGGATTTGAGTAGGCATTCATATTTTCCCGCCAAACTTTCAATCTCCCATGCAGAGTTATCGGTCCTTGAGAGAGAGAGCGAGGACCGATAACTCTGAGATATTCTTCCGCATGCGTTAACACGCATTTTCTGTACGTGTGCATACATATTTAAGATTTTTTATTTATATATATATTTCTAACGACAAAACATTTTCATATTATTAATTTATGTTCTAAAAAAAATATTTTTAGTAGTATCCATTGAAAAAATGAATTTATAACAAGCGATAAGGAATGTTATTTTGCACTCGATAATGTCTGCGTATTTATCATGTTTATAGATCGGTTACAATCCCAACACGAAAGTTACGTCATGGAAATCTAGGCGACAGCAATACACCGGAATGCCCTCACAGTCATCCGATGTAAAAAGCAACAAGTTTTGCTTTAAAAAACTAAATGAAAGTTTTTTTTCGCACATATTTGATTGTTAATCTTTTTGATTAACTTTATCAATAACCACCATTTCACATTGTGCGAGAACACAATTATCGTCCTTTGAGTGTAAAAAAATAGTTACATAAAGTAAGCAGACGTTCTGGGTTTGATATAAATATTCGTACCGTTTGTTTAAAGATAACTGATGCTACGACATCAATACACTTACAGTTTATTATCCACTGTCGATCTTACAATCACCCATGGTATAACGAATGCCAAGGGAAATGCTGAAACCATAAAATATAAAGTAAAATAAACATTTCAATGTGATCGTTTTGAATCTCAATATTGAACTCCAAATATTTAATTCTAATCAGTTCAATATGATCGTACGGAAGCGTATTAGCGCCACACAACTTTTTTTTTAATATTTCTTCCTATGTTTGCGTTATAACGCAAACCTTTGCGTTATAACCCAAACCTTTGCGATATCAATTCTTTGCGTTATAACGCAAACATTTGCGAAATAACGCAAACCTTTGCGTTATAACGCAAACCTTTGCGATATAACGCAAACCTTTGCGAAATAACGCAAACATTTTTTTTTCTTATTTCTTATTTAAGATTCAAAGGAAGCAGCAGTTATAAATGGAGGAGGCTGCATACATTAAAATGTATCCTCCTTTGTACTTATAACAAAGAAAAATGCTTGAATATTTAGAACATATTATTGACTAATAATGAGTAGGATAATAGATATAAGAAGATGTGGTATGAATGGCAATGAGACAACTCTCCATCCAAGTCACAATTTCTAAAATCAAACCATTCAATATAGGTCAAAGAACGGTCTTCAACACGGAGCCTTGGTTCACACCAAACAGCAAGCTATACAAGGCCCCAAAAATTATATACATGATAATACATGTATATATAGAACAAAGAAAATTGAGTAAATTGAAGTTGTATCGAAGAATATAAAAAATCAACCCTGCTAATATAGCTATAGCCAAATATAAATATACTTCCAAAGTAAGCTCTCGTTTGAAGATTATTTAAGGTTGGTTAGATCCATTGACCAAACAAGCTACCTTTTTGCAATAAAATGAAGATGTTTTATTATTAAAATTATGTTCTCTACATTTAAATTGCTACCCAAGTATCTTTAAGTTACTTCACTAGATTGAAATGAAAATTTCATGAATTTCTATCAAAGAATCTTGATCATATTCTGCGATTTAAAAAAAATCTTGCATCAAAATCTAATAAAAATGTTTCTTTATTAATAATTCATTTTAAAGCAGAAAGATTATTTTGTCTATTTGACTTGAAAGTTTCAAAAATGTATGACATTAGTTTTGCTCATTCAATTAAAATATGCCTATACCATATCTATTTTCTTGTTAAATTATATACTTTTCTGATGCACAAATCATTCTTAATTTATGTATAATTGCACTTCAAGTATTCCATTATTCCTATGCATATTTATTATAATGAGTTGGCCTTGTATTTATGGTTCTTTTCCTATCTACTAGTAAATCACAACCGAAATTAATGACAGACGGACATATATACAAAACTTAATGAATAATTGAAATCAAGATGTTTGCGTTATAACGCAAAGGTTTGCGTTATTTTGCAAATGTTTGCGTTATAACGCAAAAGGTTTGCGTTATTTCGCAAAGGTTTGCGTTATATCGCAAAGGTTTGCGTTATAACGCAAAGGTTTGCGTTATTTCGCAAATGTTTGCGTTATAACGCAAAAGGTTTATAACGCAAATGTTTGCGTTATAACGCAAAAGGTTTGCGTTAAAACGCAAAGGTTTGCGTTATTTTGCAAATGTTTGCGTTATAACGCAAAAGGTTTGCGTTATTTCGCAAAGGTTTGCGTTAGTTCGCAAATGTTTGCGTTATAACGCAAAAGGTTTGCGTTATTTCGCAAATGTTTGCGTTATAACGCAAAGGTTTGCGTTATAACGCAAACATTGGAAAAAATATTAAAAAAAAAAGTTGTGTGGCGCTAATACGCTTCCGTATGATCGTCTTGAATCTCAAAGAATATTTTATTCTGATATTCAATATCTATATAACCTTACTATTTATGCAAAATGTAGATGGCTTTTTCCATATCGACCTGGTGCATGCATCCCGAGGGTCTGATATTGGTCGAGGGAAGACATAATCAAAGTTGAATTGAAGGGTAAAGTTTGTTTTCATTTTGCAATGAGCATTTAATTGTATTTAGCAATGGAAGACATATTTAGGCAATATTTTGATCTGAATATATCTACTTTGATCATAACTGTTCATTTGTAGTTGAACCTTTTCCTACAACAGAAAAATTCATACACCATTCACAACTTATGTATTATTTATTATACTCATACACATCATTGTGTTACATGAATATCTGAGAGTATTTATCATCAATAAATTGTACGACAAAAGCTGGATAGAACCTAGAGAATGCTCATCTGAACGCACTGTGTTGTTTGGACCACTATCAAAGGTAGTGCTTAAATATGGATGATATATCTATGAAGCCAGTGCCATAAGGGTTTTGATTGCATTTAATGCAATTTTCACCCCAAAAAGGTCATATATTTATTAGTTCATTATCAATTCCGATGTACAAACGAACCCCGGTTGATAAGGGAGCTAGGATGAAAAATTTTGTCCTGCATTTTCTTCTAGTTGTAATCTCTGTCCTGCCTTTTTATTTTTCACTCTATTTGGTCCTGCCTTTTTTTTTATTAGTTTATCCTGACTTTTTTGACATAAATTGTCATCCTGCTTTTTTTTTTTGGCCAAGTTGCTCATCCTGCCTTTTGTTTTTACTCAAAACTCCTGTCCTGCCTTTTTTCAAATTTCATCCTAGCCCACCATAAAAATCAAATGGTAGCTCCCTAACTCATATCATTATTGAATTATTTACAGTGTTGTTTTGATACAGGCAATTCGATATATGATAGATTTATGTAACGTTTCGATGTGGATAAACGTCTGTGACACAGTAAAATAAACGACAAACCAAAGGAGGCATGACAACATAACCCCTTCATCAATACAAATAAATAAATTCCATTGAAACGATCCAATATCAGACATTAACGCCAAATCCTCAATAGAAAAAGAAATTACATGCCGCGGCAAATTCAGTGTTTCTCAAATGATATTTCACAATTATACATTTCTTTGTATTCTTTTATTTCAATACTTACTCCATCCTAGAAGCATATAGATATGTAAATGTTTCTTTTCTGTAAACACAGCTACAGATATTAACATCTGTAGGTACAAGGCTTCCACAAATATCCAAGCATAGTTAGCAGCCATTATATAGTTTACGATTGTCATAAACATCCGACATTCCCAATGCTGAAAAAAAACTAATGGGTTAAAATATCTGAAGACATATTGTATAAGACACCTGTTTATTGTTGAAGATCGCAATTTTTGTGTCGTTAGTTTACTGACTTCTTGACTACACCCAGCATCTCCTTTTATTTATAATAATAATGCCATGACTAGAAACCAGAAAGAAATTTATATAATGCGCATATTGTGTTTTTAATTTTGTATTGTTACAAAAATAATATATCCTGCTATTTGAAATGACAAAAGAAAAAGGTCCTAAATATAGTGATTTCCTATTTTCTTTTGATGAATATCGTTAGTCTCCCACATACCAACATAAAACTATACATGTATATTGTCACAGTATCGTCACAGACTATTTATTGTCACACCAGGGTTGGTTTAATAGTAGGATAATTAGATAATGAATCACGATTATGCTTTCAAATTTGATACTTCATTCAACTGACAAATGCCTACACTTCATTTCTATTCAAGCTAATCAATATTTGTTATAACCAACAATAATAATTGTTGATAGGTTGTGTCGCTAAAGGGAGATAATGTATCTTCATTTTAGCAACGAATTAAAAATACTTTACATCAAAAAAAAAAAAAAAAAAAAAAAAAAAAAAACTTTATAGCATGAACCGTTATTGAAATTATTGTTGTACATATGTCATTAATGTTTCCATAATCTCACAAATTGACATCGATTGAAAGTGAAAATGTAGAGTAACTAATAATTGAGAGACAAACTAATTCGATCTATAATAGTACACATTAAATTCACTGACCGATCGAAACCCTCATGGGTAGCGAAGGTCGTTAACACTTCCGTAGTAGTAGTAGAAAAATAATTCTTGCATAGATAAATGGAGTTTCCTTTACAACAATCGGTATGTTTCCATGATGATCAACACTAAATTTGGTAAAAAAAAAGGAAATTCTCTTTTCTACTTCCACTTCTGTCTGTCTGAAACAATTTATTTCTTGTTTTCCTCTGTTGTGGAGTCTGGTCTAAATTTATCAGGACATATTGGTGTAAAATGAGTTGTTACAAACATATTTTAATAGTTGTAACTCATTTGACTCAATCTTTTTTATTTGAAACTTCCATGCATGGGCCATAGAACGTTTTCAGTAAAATTTTGTGAACAATTGCTTTTATTATGTTTAAAATGTTCAATGGACTCCATATAAACGTTTATGCAACAAAAAAAAAGAAGAACAAAACGGATAGATATCACTGTCAAACAGTTAGTTATATTCAGGAGTTTGCATTTCTGTAACAACCAAATTGTTTTCAAAGGCATGGGAATGAATTATAAAGAGAAAATACATTAATAAAATGCAGCAGCAAAATACAATCCTTACATTATGAAATTATGGACATTCATAGCAACGGGACTTCATCTTTTCTGTATATTGTAACCAGAGGACAGCAGTTTTGTATGGTTCTTTTTTCATTTTGAATTTGTCCCACGCATTCATTTTGTCTAACCTTTCCCGAGGAACAATTCGGAAAAGAAATACACAATGATGTGTATAATTGAAAATCATTTACTGGGCTATTTCAGATAGTTTTCAAAAGATTTTTGCAAAAACAGGTTTGCTGCATTTGTTTGCACCTGTCCTAAGTCAGGAACCTATTTCAGTGGTTGTCGTTTGTTGATGTGGTTCATAAGTGATCTCGTTTTTTATATAGATTAGATTGTTGGTTTTCCTGTTTGAATGGTTTTACACTAGTCATTTTGGGGTCTTTATAGCTTTCTGTTCGGTGTGAGCCAAGGCTCCGTGTTGAAGGCCGTACTTTGACATATGATGGTTTACTTTTTACACATTGTGACTTGGATGGAGAGTTGACTCATTGGCATTCATACCACATCTTCATATTTCTATTAGCTGAATAATACGAGTAAGAGAAAGTGGTATAATTCTACTTCTTATTCAAATATATCTGAAAAAGATTATGTTCTATATAGTGTCTTTTTGTCTGTGTTTTGTGAATTCTGTCAAGAACTGATTTAGCAAAGATGATATATTTTGTATCACTTTAATATTCAACATATTATATGTTGTACTAACAGGAACAAATAGCATGTAAAATTATCAAAATTATATTAAACAGAATTATGTAGCGTTCAAGGGAAATGCAGCTCATTCTTGCTAAATAAATATTCTTTACAAATTATGACGTGAAGAAAATATCAATGAAATTAACAGACAACAAGATGGTATAATATTTCTGCAAAGTTTGGTTTCCGTTTTGATATATCAAATCAGAAAAATTAATTAAAATATTATTTGTGTTCATGTTTTATGCATTTTATTTTGCAATGGGTTCTTTACATTCATATTCCAATCCGAATTATTTCTACCAATAACACAATAATTGATACTCAGTAAACATTATATAACGTTATGTACTTCTTTAATCATTGATGTAGCAATTTAAAATGCACTTTTAAATGTCATTATTTAAATTGTTTTATATCGAAAGAGAGAGAGAGAGGAAGTCTTTACCTTCTATTCGATCAGATTCATTAACGATCTATTATAATAATATATTGACTCCAATCACTTTACTATATAAAATTGAGAATGGAAATGGGGAATGTGTCAAAGAGACAACAATACATATATTTTTAAGAACAAGTCTAAATTGAAAACAACGTTCAAACCTATGATTGCGTTGGATAAAAACCGCAATGTTTATACGTGTGCATGTAATACAAATACTTTTCACTTTTTTGGTCATTTGGAAAATGTTGTTTGTGCATATATTTTTATGTAAATATGTTTTGTCTGAAAATTGAGCTAACAATGTTAGATCTACGTTCGCAAATTTGTGTTCTTCCCTCTGTGTGAATTGGAACCCATGATTTTGTGAAATCGTTGCAATACCGCCTCCACTGTGCACTAGCGCCCTAACGCAACTATAGGCTATACACAAATATAGTAAATAGAGTCGCTATCTAGGTTTTTTAATACAGTCAGTACATGATGTATTTTGGCACCTAGATGTTATACCTTGCAGATCATCTGTTATTGTATGTCGTAAAGGATGATAATACTTACCATGTAGTCTCGTCCATACCATATACGGAAAGTTGTCACATAATTAGACGTATATAAAAGGTCCCTCATTACAAAATATGAAACAATAAAACAGAGAAATATAATTGCCTGAATTAGACTATAACTTGCGACATTGAATAAAAAACAGTTATGACAATCGGCAACCAACAACAATCACTGCACTACCGTCTTTGTTTGGGAAAGCCACAATCAGAATGTGGTGCATGGTGTTATATTGTTTGTGAGCGCTCAAATCTCCCCTAACCTAGGACATGTGAAACACCACAACACCAGAGACATGTGAAACACCACAACACTAGAACAAACTGTAAGAATAACTTTAAAAGGATGTGAATCATCAGATCGGTACTTTGCTCAAATCAACTTACAAAAAATATAAGTATCGACAGGACGTGAGACACATTGTATATCAATTACTACAAATTATACAAACATTAAAATTATTTTATTGGCCAACATTTAACTTACTAATCCTTCTGGCAGAAACGCTAACTGTCCTTTTTCGTTATAGTAGACGTCACTAGAGAAGCCTAAACCTTCTATCATAATACCATTCTTGATGAAAGATATGATAGCTCTAAGGATGAACGATAAGAACAGATTCAGATGAATGGTATTCCTTGGACAATGCAGTTTTCTGAAACAAAAAAAACAAAAACGAAAACCTGTAGTCAGATATTTCAAAAGTTTGAAAATGAAGAAAATTTATAAGTTTAAGGTCAAAATGTACGGATATTTGTATATTTGAAAATTGAAATTTTTCATATATTTTTTTACGGTCCAGCACATTACTAATTATATGCTAAATACATGCACATTTTTATTGTGCATTTTTTTTTAAAATAAATCGAAAGATACAGTGTTCCTAGAAAGATAATATAAAAGTACTACATTTTAAAAAAGGTTTGTCGGTTAAATTGCAAAACTATTTTTATTGTATTAATGAAAATATGTATGCACCTAAATCAACATGACATTGGATAGAACATAGTAAAATAAATCTACTTGTTAATCATTACCAGATGTCAAATGAAAAAATTGTTTATAGCTTACTTGAAGTATAACATTATGATTACTGCCACTAACAAGGACGCTAATGACAATCCGTAACCAGTGTGTTTCATAATTGTCAGATTATCCATGTGGTCCTAGAATGCAAGATGTTGTCAAATATATATTTATAATGAACATATTTATAAAATTTTTTTAGCTTACTGAAGATATAATTTTAAATGATAAGAAAAAACATGTAGATTAAAGTATTGAATAGATTAAAAGTATTGAATAGATATCCTTAAGTCCGTTCCATCGTATGTTCTTCCACACATGGTATTCGCAACTTCTCTTAAAGCAGTCACAACATTTTTCTAAAAATTGAAGAGATCATTTTTTTGCACTTTTTAAGGATTTTATGGGTGTTCAATAATAAATTTCATATTTTGTAATATCATAGAAATAAATAAATATCTTTCATTCGAAAATTCTTTAGTCTGCTGATTTACTGCTTAAAAAAGGAAGATGTTGAACCACGGGTAAAAACCGAATGATACTTATTGATTTTTACTTGTCATGAGCATCCACCAGTGATTAGGTTTTAAGAGATGTTGTTACACAACTCCTTCGTCTATTTTTACGTATGATGACGCCCATATTCTTCTATTTTAATGTTTTGAAAATGTTTTTTCCTACCGATAGTCTGACGATTTTATATATTTACTAGTATCTCACAAATACTACGGATTTCAATTAAATTTTATGATGACATTTCATGAAACCTGTTAGGAGTGCTGTTTCTAGGATTTTTTCCTTGAGTGACAGTATCCGGCCAAAATACTGTAGGTGCCTAAGCTAACTCCATGTAATTTTGAGCACTTTTTGACCCTATCTTTAAGTAACTTTTTTATTGTGTGTTCTAGTTGTACGACATATAGTCTAGATATGCAAACGAGGGTTGGGGTCGAGGTTGCGCACTTAAAACTGAATTAACCGGACCACTTTTTTTTGCCTGCAAATCGGAGGTGTCGGGAGTTAGTGATAGAAGAAATTAGTTGTACTATGCGGTATTTTATACGATTTCTGTTATCCCCTTTTATGTATTATAATGACAAAAGGCATGTGGTACCTGGGAATACTTTGATGGTACCGAATGTGGATATTTGTGGGTTTAATCTTCGCTCCTCTTTAACCTAAAGACTCAACAAACTGTATTGCATTTAGGAATATGAGGTACGTTTAAACTAGATCTTTGTCATTTTCATTCACAACTACAGTATAGACTTTGGGCGATTTAAAGATTATTATATTTTATAATGAATACTTATGTATACCTATGTATCATATATGTTGACTATAAGGTGTGATTTCGTGTTGAAATGACGTTAGACCACGTAACACATTTTCACTTATATTTTCAGCTTTTTTCTCTGATTAGCACGACGCAATTAGCAGAAAAGTGATATTTCATTTATGTGGGGATAAAGCTCTTATCATGAAATTAAGAATATACAAAATGGTATATATTATGGTTTAAGGGTGGAGATGTGAATATTTTTTAAGACAATTAACAATAAATGATACGAAGGGAAAGGGCATTTTCCCCAACGGAAAAACAACCTGCGATGAACTAGAAAAATCTAAGCAAGGCAATTTAAACCATACATAGGTTAAAGGGTGGGGATATGAACCAATTTTGAAATATTAAACGCTTTATTATACGAGTGGCAGGTCATGATCCCTAGAACCACATTCTTAGGTGCATTGAATGTGTTTTGCCATGGCAAGATAGAATATAAATGGTTTTAGAAATAACATGTAACCATCAGTCCTTTGACCTTGAAGGTGAAAGGTTAAGGTCATAAGTCATCTTGAAGGTAAGCGACACATCGTCTTGAGGGGCTGTACATGAGTGCCAAATGTTAAATGATTATACCAAAGAAAATAATATGTTCCGGACACGAAAATGTCCGCAAAAATCAATAATTTTAAACTTAAAGTCAAAGGTTAAGGTCACATGATAGAAAAAGCAGATATTTGTGATGACTTTTTTACAGAAAAAAAAAACACTATTGGTTTGTAGACGATACAGTTTGCCTATTTTTGTCTTTAAAAAACAGAGAAACGCATTCCGAGGGTATCATCAGCTCAGTAGTCAGTAATGTAGTACTGACATGATTTATAACAAACAATTGTAAAATTATCCGTTCAGAAATTTTGAAATTATAAAGAAACCAAGGTTTCAACTGCTCAGGCAAAGTTAACCTTCGATGGATTTGTCTATTTTCTATACCCCTTTTTGGTCGTATAGCTCTTCAAATGTTTCGGTTTGGCTTTCAAATATCGAGTTTGAGGTTCCTGATGAAGGTAAACCAGAAAAGCACTTTGGACGCATGGAATTTACAACGTGTTGTTTTCATTTTTTACAGCCCTGTGTTGATACCTCTGCTGGTGGACTGAGGGTATCATCAGCTCAGTTGCCAGTACTTCGGTACTGAAATGATTTATAACAAACCTTTCTAAACTTATTCGAAATTTTAAAAATATAAAGAAACTAAGGTTTTAATTATCTCAGGCAAAGTTGACCTTGGATGGATTTGGCTATCTTTTAGGCCTTTTTTTGATATAGCTCTTCAAATGTTTCGGTCCTTATTCATCCTTGGCTTTAAAATATTCGGCTTTGAGCGTTCCTGATGAAGGTAAATTTAAAAAAGCGCTTCGGACGCATGAAATTCATAACGTATTGTTTTCATTTATTTCAACCATCATATCTTAAGATCTACGATCATCTACACTCTTGATAATTAAATTTTATATATTTGACCTTCTCGAGTTGAGAAATACTGGTTCACACTTAAAGCAGGAATATATAGACCTTTATATCACCAATATGTTCTTGTCCTCAAAATGACTGACAATCTGCCATTCTGGACATTTTTCATGCATTCATTCATTCGAGTAAGAGTGAAGTTATTGACTCACCTTGATAATAGCTGGGACTGGTTGTCCAGGGACACCATTGACAGGAATATTATTCATTACACATGCACTATAATCTGACCAGCTCTTATTGGTATCTGCATGAACATACCAAGTTCCGTCTGCATCGCAACGTCGGGTTACATTTTCTGTAGAAACAATAAACAAACAAACTTAACTTGGATAAAGTCGACATCGAGACTGTGGACACTTAGAGCATATCTAGTAAGTGGTACTATAAATTATTATTTGTGCAATATTGCAAAACTATATTCAAAACGTCCTCTAGTGGTAGGAAATAACAAAATTGAACATCATGAATATTCTTAAAAAGATTAAAAATTTTAAAGTCTGGAACGATTTAATATATGAATATTTTGAAGGATCATCTTTATTCCAGAGATAATCAATCGAGTCGGAAGTGAAGGATAATCTTTATTCCAGAAATCATCAATCGAGTCAGATGTGAATGATTATCTTTATTCCAGAGATAATCAATCGAGTCAGAAATGAAGGATAATCTTTATTCGAGAGATAATCAATCGAGTCAGATGTGAAGGATCATCTTTATTCCAGAGATAATCAATCGAGTCAGAAGTGAAGGATCATCTTTATTCCAGAGATAATCAATCGAGTGAAAAGTGAAGGATAATCTTTATTCAATAGATCATCAATCGAGTCAGAAGTGAAGGATAATCTTTATTCCAGAGATAATCAATCGAGTCAGAAGTGAAGGATCATCCTTATTCCAGAGATAAGCAATCGAGTGAGAAGTGAAGGATAATCTTTATTCAAGAGATCATCAATCGAGTCAGAAGTGAAGGATAATCTTTATTCCAGAGATAATCAATCGAGTCAGAAGTGAAGGATCATCTTTATTCCAGAGACAATCATTCGAGTGAGAAGTGAAGGATAATCTTTATTCAAGAGATCATCAATCGAGTCAGAAGTGAAGGACCATCTTTATTCCAGAGATAATCAATCGAGTGAGAAGTGAAGGATAATCTTTATTCAAGAGATCATCAATCGAGTCAGAAGTGAAGGATCATCTTTATTCCAGAGATACATGTACTAATTTTCAAGTTTAATGATAGTTAATTATAATTATTTAATCGTTTATTAGAATTTGATGATTATTGCATATTTCAATGTTATCAAGTTCTGAAGTTTTGTTAACCTTTGAGCCTTATAGATTTTTTACTATTTTGGATTTGTTTTTTTCCTGATCAATTGTTGACTAACAATATCAAAGAAGTCAATTTATACGAGTTCATTGTATATTATATTTGTATGATAGAAAAAGAAAGAAAACAAAATTGTAAAACTGATAGAATTCGTTATTGTCTGATATAAAAGATGAGAAAACAGACAATGTCTGTTACAAAGAAGACAGACAGATTACAGCAATCTCGTATCTAAAAGAAGAGAATGATCTTATCTTTCCAATTCCAAAGCAACAAAAGATCATTTAACTAGAAAATGAGTAAAATTATCCAATATCAAACTGTTTGAAATAAACAGAAATAATATCAAGTAAACAAGGGTCTGATTATAACAACTAGTTGATTATAATGTTATATGTAATATATATGTAAAATGTAATAAATATTTGAAATAAAGATTTTTTTTGCGTAGGAGGTTCAGTTGTGTATGAAATAATGTAATATTGTTCAATGTATGACTAAAAGGAGAATAGTTGTTTACAAACTAACTGATTCGTAAAACAGGAATAGAAAACTTTGATTTTATTTTATGTTCGCACACCTTTAACAAACCTTTCTAAATTGTTCGTTTATGAATTTAAAAATGATTAAGAAACTAAGGTCTCAACTTCCTCAGGCAAAGTTTACCTTAGATAGATTGCTATTATTTAAAGGTTTTTTTTGGTAATATAGCTCTTCAATTGTTTCGGTTCTTATACATCCTTGGCTTTCAAATATTCAGCTTTTGGCCGGTTCCTGGCGAAGGTAAATCCAGAAAAGCGCTTCGGATGCATGCAATTTATTAACTGTTGATTTTTTCATACTATATTTTAGTTTCTGTACGGAAATTTTGTACCTTCTCTTATCACTGCATTGCGTTATTGTAAGCGAATTCAAGGACATGTTAATTTACAATAACAATAAGGTATGATATAACAGTCGGAAGTTTCTGTCCAGGAAACACTTTTTTAACATGTTCTTTAGATTTTGTTTATTTGTTTGTTGAGTGGGTTTCGGGGCATTGTTTAACGTTCCAATGATTCGCCTATTAAACATAACAAATGAAATTATTTGGTATGTTCATACAATTCTAAAGTCGGACGGGTAAATTTCAGATCATTTTAAACTCACAAATTGTAGACGATTTTTCAAACCGGTTTGATACTAATTTTGAACGTGATGGCTTACATGACTCTCACATTGAAGTTGCAAAAGAAGGCTCTATTAGACCCCGTATCAGCTAATTGCTTTCAATTTCATGGACTAAATATGTGATAAATATATATTTACACGGCATTTTTCATATCGCCCTGGTATCATTACTCGACCCATATCGGAACATTTGGCGATAGGCCCCGGTCACGGAATGATACTAGATTTGTCTCATCTATGCATGCCCAACATTTCTTTTTTATTTATATTAAATATATTAACGCCGAAACTCAAGGTCTAATTAAGCACAACCCACATCGTTTGTGTATACATGTAGGTGTTGTATAATCATTATATTTATGATTTTAGGGATACACATTAAATTATTTTCTTAAATACAGTTATTGCAAATTTTATCATAATATGCGAAAAATGCTTAGAATTGACTCTATCGCCTGTTAATGTTAACAATGTTTGATAGAAACCATGCTAAGGCAATCGATGGTTCTGTATGTATGCAAGGTCTCCATATGTGCCTTGTTGTTCATTAAATGTGTTTCAAATGCTTAAAAATTATGCCAACGAAAATTTGGTTGTACATTTATATAGTGACTGAGGTCACATCTCACAGACGTCATAAATCTGTGTCCTTTCTTTTCTCAAATATGTGTCTTTTTCAACAAGGCATGCAGTGTGTACTATGTACTATAAAGTCAAAATAATTAAAATACCTTCGAGGAAAGATTTATGTTGTCAAGAAACATCTTGAAGACCGAACGGTAATATAGATTTGTGTCTATTATCTTCTGGTATTTTTGTTGTTAATTGTGTGCTTTGTGTCTATCTGATTTTTTATTATATTGTTTTGTTATACAACGGTCCAAGATTAGGTTAGTGTTGTGCGCTTTAACCCCGTCGCTTTTTATATGTGCCTGTCCCAAGTCAAGTCGCATTACTTTATGTCTACTTTATAAAAAAAGAAACAAATGGCCCCAGATTTAAGTGTCATGACTTCACAGGACACATATCGGAGGAAAGGACACAGATTTGAATAAACAAAGGGCCCCCAGGTTAAGTGTCATGACTAATATATTTGACTCTAACATTTATATTCTAACTCTTTCACAATTATAATGATACAATTTAACTATTATATGTGTAAACTTGCCAGTTATGAATGTATAGCGCTACCGGCTCAAAGCATTTGTAACCTGAACATATCCTTTCAATAAACTATTTTCCGAAACATCTGGTCCTACAATTCTGCACTCCGGGGAAGATTTCGTCTGCTCAAGTGCATCATATGATACCAGTGACTAATGACTATACCTTTACCAATATGTTGTGTTTTTAGTAAAAAGTTCAAAATTATTAATGTAAATATTAAAGCCCACTTTTGGTAGCTAGTATTCTTCATCTTAGTTTGTAAATTTCGCGTCTTCTTTTGTACACCACTTTTATGACCCTTAATGCATTGAGTTAAATAAAAATCTTCTTACTGTACTGTTTTGTAAGAATACGACTTTGCTTAAATAATTCTACTGTATGGATTATTTTTTTAAAGAAATCATTGGCATTGTTTTTGATAAACAAATTATTTATTCCAAGGTTGTTTCTGATTTTATTTGTGTTCTGTAAGTGTCTTTATGAGACTTTTTGCATGAACATTTGCCAATATGTAAATAAGCCACACATGTCAAATTGGATATAGAATGGAATTCACGACAATAAATTATATCATCGATTAAAATATGTCAAATGGAAGCTTTAATTGTTAATTTGAGTCTTTTGTTAGCTAATAAAAAAATTGCCGGTTTGTTTAAGTGGTTTAAAATAAGTTAAGCAAACAGCTATCAATCAATCAATTTAAATTATTCTATTTAACTAAATGTTTCAATTGGTTCAAAACACTCTCTGGGTGTTAAATGAAAATAATACTTTATACGTGTGTCCGGATTTGCCTCCATCAGAAACGCACAATCCCACAATTTAAAAGCCCCGGATGTATAAGTTCTTCAATACGTGGGGAATTATATGACCAAAAGGAACATAAAAAGAATAGCCAACATCCATCTATGGTTAACTTTGGCAATATCAGACATTTAGTTCCCAAAAAGTCCATATGCAGCTATATCAACACAACTAGAAAATGAAAATGTAAACGAAAAAATTTACGCGCATATTAAACGGATTTTCAAATTATACAGGAAGGGTCAGAGAAGACATAAAATCTTATACTCATATTTCCGAGCTGATTCATCGGCATATTCATTCAGATTCCGGAATTATGAGCGCCTCATTGGAATAAGATAAACTAGAGAGCCTGTGTCGCTCACCTTGGTCTATGTGCATATTCAACAAAGGACACTCTCCAACATTGTAGACAGGAATAGAATTCATGAAAAAAATCTGTTTTGTTGATCTTCTATGGATGATAATTTAGCCTATTTAGTTTCTCTCTATCTTTTTTTTTTTAGATACAAACACAAAAGAGGATAAAAAAAAAATCCTCATTTAAGGGCAATCACTCCTATAAAGAGTGACAGTCTATTAAACTATATCGGCAAAATTTGACTTGCTGGTAAATCTTGACTTGCTGATCATTTTTGTGAGTGTATCTTTATCTGTTATAATTTCCTATCATGTATGGCAAAATGCAAAATAAAAAGTGAAAATCGTCTTTAAAGGGCAATAACTCCAATAAGGAGTCGTCTGACCATTTCCTCCATATTGTCTTCATTGTAGATTTTGTTTTGCTGATAATTTTTGTCTAGCTAAGTTTCTATCTGTCTATT